CGGGGTTTTTAAAATTTGTCTTGCGAAAAATCTGCAATACAAAATGTAATTTTGTATTGCAGATTTTTCGCTCTATCGTGGGTTTTTGCGGTATGGAAGAAAAAAAAATCCAATATTTTCATTATTTTTCAGGCTAAAATAAGCATTTTCTAGCCATAAACATCAACGCTGTTGTTTGGAGCAGTGAGATTTCCACATTCGTACTTCATCAAATATTTTGTTTTCTGCACTTGAGCAGATAAACTACCATAATAAATCTCCTCCCACTTTAAACTCCATACAATAGGGATGACATTTCCCACATGGTCAGACAAGGATCTCTGTAGGACACTGCACCTTGTCCAGTTCCCCCACTGCACCTGCATGTGTATGTGTGTGTGTGTTCAAGCGTGGTCCGTCTATTTAGGGCCATTTAGCCTGACTTTCACACGGACTCGCTGAGGTGAAACCATCAGCCGTAACCGTGTATCGCTGACACTCTTTTTCCCACATTTAACCCTGACCCTGGGATATTTGATACCAGACAGCTTTAATTATGCCTGTATATTATTATAATGTATGGGTTATTTAACTGGTAAAGGAACCTGTAAATGTCTTTGTTGGAGTAGCTCCATTAAATCTCTCACATGCCATGAAGTCTTTAAGACAAACTAACTAACCGTATCCATGGTAACACTGTCACTTGATGTCCTCTTGACGACGTTGACAGGACATAACTTTAATAACTTCGGCTAGCCTGCCGCCTCCTTGCTGTCAAGTCTCATAGCTATAGAAGTCACGTCCTGTTTCCTATTCATTTAATTTAAAGTTAAAGCTGCATACTAGTATTTTCAGTTACATACTTGCCGCCGCGGAGTACCGACACTTCTTTAAATTCCCCCAATGCATCGTAACTTGATTTTAGCCGTAAGTCGAAACTCACATTAGTACCTATGTCAATCACCTACACTAACACAGTGATAACATTATAATCTAGGACAGTGGTTCTCAAACTGTGGTACGAGCACTCTCTAGTGGTACGTGTGAAAATTCATATTTTCACATTTACATTTTCAATTGAATCTGAAAAAGACCATGTACAATTAATACAATTAATACAACATTTAAACATCTATAAACCTCTCTCCTGTGGTGGAAGCTAACAGGGAAGGTCTATGATGCTGTATTCTAATGTTGGTCATCATGGTGGTACTCCACCAAGTTTGAGAACCACTGGTCTAGGACATAAAAACATCAGGAGAGTCTGACTTAGCTTGGGAGCCGTAATGAAGGACAAAAAGTACCCAAAGAAACAACGCAAATGAAAGAAAGCAAATGTAGCGCAATCGTATGTGTGACGTAAAACCGGCAAAACAAAGCCATGTTTTGTGTATAGCACTGCGTGACAATGTACTGATCGACTCCGCTGGCCAACTAGTCCCCATGGGAGATGGTGAGGTAAGTCCGAAACATCGCAAGTCGAGGACATCATAAACCGAGGACCTCCTGTTGTCTTTAGCTATTTCAATCTAAATGGAAACACAACTCTTTGTATCAAACAAACAGTCTTGACACAATGATAATATATGAATAAAACAATAGATAGAATAAATGTAATGAATAAAAAATAATATTGATAAAAATAAACTGTTTGCATAACACTCTTTAGTTACAAACCAGCTTTCCAGTAAACAATAGAGAGCAGAAATATATCAATTAAATAAAGAGAGAAAACAAAAATATTAAAATACGAACATGAACAAAATCAAACTTTCTTCATAGTTAACACAACCAGCTGAACAGAAAGAGAGCAGAGCTTTGACGCCGATGGTGCTTTCCAACTGAACAAATGAAGATGGAATCTATCAGGAGACATTAGTGTGTTCAGGGACACAGCGCCTCCTCAGGTGGCTTTTTGATAACTTTGATTTAGGTACAAACTTTGGTCTTCCTCAGATGCATTAAAGTTTGGACACAAACCCAGACGTAAACCTGATCTTTGTTAGTGCAAGTATCCATATCAGAAGTGTGTGTGTGTGAGAGAGACGGAGAGAGAGAGAGACAAGAACAGACAGACAGATGGGTGTGTGTTTGTGTCACGACAAAAAAGGCAAAACAGATGAAAATAGAGCCTGAGGCAAAGCATGTCATGACGTGTGTGTGTGTGTGTGTGTGTGCCTACAGAGGTACGTATGTAGTCCTAACAACACACCCATTTACATTTCCCACCCTTCTCTCTTTCTTACTCCTGAGACACCCATTCAATCTCCCATTCATTCATTTACTCATTCATTCAGTTTGTCTCTTTTTCCCATCCTCCATCCTGTTGAGCAGTCAGACAAAAAAAAACAGACTCAGGCTGAAGTGAGGGCTGAGGTAACAATCACCGCCATCACTTCAGCGAAGTCTGATGACTGCTAGGTCAGTATATATACACCTCGGTTTATGACGGTCCTCGACCTATGGCGTTTCATGGTTGCGTCACCATTTCTTGACAGCTTTGTTTACATTCACCGGTTGTACGCAAACATTATATTATGCTACACTTTGTTTCTTTCATTTGTGTTGGGTTTTTGCGCTTTATACAGACTACTTAGATGTTTTTATACCGCCTGGACGTTAAGGTGGCATTTTAAGCTAGAGGGGCTTTGGTGAAACAAAAACATTTTTAATTGGCATTGTTTTCCAATACCAACTTGTGTATCGACTCTACCTTGTATTAAAGATAACTAAAGGATTGTTGGGTACATATATATAGTACATATACCTAATTCTAACTCTAAACGTTATCTTGAACCTGTACATATATGTACATATATATACATATACAGTACATATATACATATACATATACAGTACATATATACATATATATACACATATAGATATATACATATACATATATACACATACATATATATATACACATATACATATACATACATATATACATATACATATATATATACACATATATACACATATACATATATATACACACATATACATATACATATACAGTACATATATACATATACATATACAGTACATATATACATATACATATATATACACACATATACATATACATATACAGTACATATATACATATATATACATATACAGTACATATATACATATATATACATATACATACATATATACATATACATATATATATACACATATACATATAGTTAGGATTAGAGTAAGTGCCAGAAAAAGCTTAAGGTTAAGATTTGGATTAGTGCTCAAGAGAAGGGGTGTTTGTGTGCACAGGTTCTGGGCCGTGAGCTCCTTCTGCATCTCGCTGATGAACTGGTACAAGGTTATCGCTCCGGAGAATCCTGGTCTGTGCAGCTACTGAACAGCACACGCATTCACGTGCTGCCAACAATGAATCCTGATGGATTCGATGAGGCGAGGACGCACTGTCAATACAGTCAGGGCAGGTACACACACACACACGCATTGTTCTTTACAAATGTCGGATGGCGATGTCAGAAAATTCTGAAAAACATTATTGACATTCACAGTTGTTTAAAAATCTAAACCAAATATAGATCTGTTTAAACTTAGCTTAAAGTTCTATAACAACAGTTTTGACAATTTTATTTATTTTTCGAGCAGACGTCAAGCTTCCTTTGAATGGATATGTTTTTTGGCAAACATTGTTTTTTTGCCAATGTGTAAAAGGAGCTTTTGTTCATTTACAAAGTTTAGCGAAGGTTAAGATATTTAAGATCCATATTATTAACTGTGGGTAACCTTTACCTACCAGTTCAGGTGGTTATGCTAACCTATGGTTGTGCTTTTGGGTATTTAAGCGTACATATTCTTGTTTTAGGTTTAGCTATCTTTCTACATTTTTAACATTTTTGACTAGTTCTACTACTACTCAACTCTTGTCTCAAAGTTCAGCTCAGTTTCCCTATTATTCTGAGCCTCTGTCAAATATTACCGTGGGGTGTTTGTCACAAGGACAAGAAGAAAGGACACACACACTTGAAGACTAGACTAAACAATGTCATGCGGTAACACCCAAAACACAAGATAAGAAGAAACCAGACTAGACACGTATCGCAATTACAAAGACACAAAATGTGATTTATAATTATACTAATTATACATGTTTTTATTAGGGCACCTTATACACACAATGTGCGTATCAATTCCAAAGTGGATTCCTCGGTATAATTAGTCATGGTAAAATGCTGACTTCCTGCCCCATTTGATTTCCACAGTTCTAATCTAACTGGGCCATCTCGCTCTAATTAGGTACAACTCTAATGGCGTGGACCTGAACAGGAACTTTCCTGACGCCTTTGCTGGGCCTAAAAATCAACGGCAGCTCACCGAGAAGGAGAGGGAGGCCGAGGTTGAAGAAGATTTCCGATGTTAGCATTTGAAAAGAAACTCATCGAGCCCCAATTTTAGCAGTGAAATAAACAGTTTTATGCATTTTTGTTTAAGGTCCGGGCTGTGATTGGCTGGTTGCAGACAGAGACTTTCGTACTCTCTGCGAACCTTCATGGAGGAGCTCTGGTTGCCAGTTACCCCTATGACAACAGCAATGGAGGTAAACTCTTATACAAAGAGATGCGGCCCTCCCTGCCTGTCTGTAATCATTCGAATCAGCCACCTTTGCTCAACGGCACACAAATACAACGATGGCGGAAGCCAGGCTAGTTCTGACTTCTGACTTTGCTAGAGGGGCTAATTTACCCAATTTAGAGACTTTGATTAAATGTTGAATTTTCTGCATCCGTAGTCTTAGTAGTCGTATCACAGTCGTGTAAACATCGCCACAGGAAATGAGTGATTGTAGATCACAAGTAACACAGAAGATGCTGGCTCGCTACAGCCTCTTGTGGTGGTTTTGTGTCATTGACAAAAATCAGAACAAATGATCTTAAACACTGCGTTCACAAAATATCTGGGGATGAACTAACACCTTGTCAAGCCAGTCAAGTCACTTTCGTGTGTTTAGCCTAAATTCACCGAAATGTAGGAATATTATTGCGTCGATACATTGACGTAAGAGTTTCCCATGCTGTGAACCTAATAATAATCTAGGAGTGTCAGTGTAGAGGGAGTCAGTTTATGGAAGAGAAATAAATCATCGCCTGTTGTTTATGTTGCTGTGCATTAGCAGATGTAAGCAGTGAGGAAGAGGAAGAGGAGGAGAAAACAATAACAGTTAAAGAGGAAATCATGACTCACCCACGTTTCCTTTTGGACTCACGCAGGCAAACAATGCAGCACCACTGCTTGGTCTCTCTGAGCTGGAATCACTGATGTTCTTTGTGGACTTTGAAGAAGTAAAATTCACTTTGAGCTTTCTTCCATTTCCTTTATGCAAATTTCTTTTGTCTCCAGGCAGTGAGCAGGTACATCGCTCCAGCGTGGCACCAGATGACGACGTCTTTGTTCACCTGGCAAAAGTCTACTCCCAGAACCATGGCTCCATGCACCGGGGTGACGTTTGCAACGACGGTTTGACTTTCCCAGACGGCATCACAAACGGTTACCAGTGGTATCCTCTTTCAGGTTATTATTAGATTCCGTGTGGTGGAATATTGGGAGGTTTATTCTCTACATCATTGACCATCAACTGGCGGCTCTAGGGCAAATCCACTGTACGGTCAAATCTGGCCCGCGACTGGATTCCGAAACTGAGGATCAAAGAGAGAAAAAGATATTTAAAAAAACAACAACTGAGACTTAAACAACTATCAGTAATCCCAACCATTTATCACTATTTATATTCCATTAGACAAAAATGCGATTTTTATTTTATTTTATTTGAGTGTCCAGCCACCGAGTCGTCTGTCCAGACAAATTCTGGCCCTTCGACAAATATAGTTGGTGACCCCTGACCTACATGCTGGACTCTTTACTTAGTTGTCCAACACAAAGGGCCGATATGCTTATATATATATATATATATATATATATATAAAACTAAAGAATACTCTGTAATTTGAATGTGTCAAAGCTTACCAAAAAACTCTTCCAAAAATGATTACTCCTGAACTGCATTTATTATTTACGATGGAGTATTAGGGCCACATTGAGAATAGAGAAATTAAAATTGTATTATAATTTAATTAAAAAAATAATAAATACAATTTTAAGATTAAAGTCATACATCTTCCAGTGGACTCACCACCTGCAGGAAGGTTCAGGGAGGGTTGGTACGGTGCAGTGTGATTTGGGTGGTGGTCATGGAGACTGTTGCCCCCGCGACCCGGTAACAGATAAGCGGATGAAAATGAATGGATGGAAGAGAATAAAGTGGTAACTTTGCACAAAAATAGTCAGAGTCGTAAGTCACAAGAAAAGTCGTAAATTTACAAGTCCTAAATCTATGAGACTGTGTGTGTCCAGGTGGAATGCAGGACTATAACTATATCTGGGCTCAGTGTTTGGAGATAACTCTGGAGGTGTCCTGTTGCAAGTTTCCTCCTGTGTCACAACTTCCTGTTATGTGGACGGAGAACAGAAAGTCCCTGCTTGCCTTCATCAAGCAGGTGCATCTTGGTTAGTATATGATTTTCTTTACGGATCTCCACGTGAGGGTGTGTGTTTGGAGGGTGTGGGGGTGATTTCCTATGTCCAGAGTCATCAATAACATAGCTGTCAACAAGTTTACATCTGTTTATGTTTCAGGTGTCAAAGGTCAAGTGTTTGATTCATCTGGGCATGCAGTGCGGGACGCAATAGTAGAGGTGGAGGGTCGCACAAACTTGTGTCCTTTCAGAACTGACCGACATGGCGAATACTACAGATTGCTGCTTCCTGGAAACTACAGTTTTACAGTAAAAAAAAATCACTCAATCTGTGGTATGTTGCCCTCTAGTGGTAGAATTACATCACTGCTTTTACACTCTTTATTTTTTTCATTGACAGGTTAGGTATCCTGGTCACCAGGTTTTAACGGAGACACTTGAAGTCCCATATGGTCCCAATCACTACACGGCTATGAAACACGACTTTCATTTACGACGGGCCGTAGATAACGCCACACAAGCTACTACCTCCAGAGTTAGCCCCACCCCAACCTGTAACTACACAACAGGTGTCGACTCAAGTGGAACTCTTGTCGTGCATGCATGGACAGAACTCAGTATGTTGCTCGCTTTAGTAGCAGCTGTGCAATCCATGATGTGCTGAGGCAGCCTGATGTTCAAAACACGTCTGGTCAGACGACCCCTTTACACCGGACCAAGGGAAGATTCTGAAGACACATTTTAAGGACACGTCTGTCTCTAAGAAAAACACCCACGTCTGTAACCTTGTAAACAGGTTAGAGCTGGAAAATCTTTCGTTGAAAAAGGCACAGGGATAGAAAAAAAGTCTGCATTCCATTTGGATGTAACAGTTTTACGGCTACTTTAGAACAGTGAACTCTGGTCCAAAACCCTTTAAAGACATGTTTGTAACTTTGTGTCTCAGAGCTAACAACCTAAGATTTTTGGCTAACATTTAGAGACAATAGTAAAATATGTTGGAAAAAGTACGATTTGGACACTCTCCGAATGTTTATTGGAGAATACTTTCTGTGCCAAAAGTAGGTAATATTTTCTTATGCAGTAATTGTAAAAACCTGGAAAGATTCCTGTTCTTTTTAGGAAGATTTTGTCCTTCTCCTTTCATGATGCCCTTCAGGTTAACAGCTAACTCTTCTCACAGCTACCAGGTTGCGCCTCTCTTAAAGCTATGTTTGCACAATTTTAGCTAGCTAACTCTTCTATTTTTTAGGGCTAACAGCATGAACAAGGCTAATCCTGGAATGACATAGTTAAAAATATAATTTTAAAATATTATTCCTATAATGAAGTTGGAGCTGAATCCAAACAAAATTTCCCCCCGAGAAAGCACCAATAATGGACAGGATTCCATTAGGCTATGCTAATTTTTGAGATGCAAAGGTTTGGTTTTACCTGTATTTACAGACATTTCTTTGTAGATGGGAATCTCTGGTCCACAACTTGTAAAATATTTTTGTTTTCTAATGTTACCTGAAGTAGGTGACAGTTGATAAGATGAAGTTTCTTTATGTGTCTGTGTTCCTGACATAAAAAAAACTTATATTAAAAAGTATACATTGCATATTATATATCATATTTTACCAAAAACTACCTGAACCAAAAGGTTGAATTGAAGTATACATATAAATATCCTTGGTTTTGTTGCACAACTCGAGATGCTGGGTGAAACTTTTGAGTCTTCTTCAATCTTAACAGGATATAATTTGAAATTGTTTAAGTTTGATTTAAACAAAAAATATGATATTAAATGTAATGATGTTTGATGTATTTTTCAACTAATTTTTATGCATTTCAAACAATTAATTTACTCTAAGTAATTACTTAAATGTGATTCTTATTGACTGTAGTAGCACACTGAGTAAACTACACATAATAATGTTTTACTAAATTAATACTATCGGAATATCACACTCGTTATATTTAAAGATTTGTACTCACTGTTTCAGAATCTACATTGGTTATAATGTATATAGCCAAGTTATTTTGTTCTTGATCTAAAAAGTACTTTGATACCACCTGGTGGCAGAAGTTGTGCTGTACAGAAATGAGAACTACATTTATTATTAACATGCGCTTATTCTAACGTACTTTTTTATTTATTACATGTGCAAATATTTTTATACATTTTTCTTATGGATATTTGTATATTGTGTTGGATATATTTTGAACCTACTCAGTACAAATTATTAATGTTATCATAATTTTATTCATAATTCAAGTAAGAATTAAAATAGTTAATTGTTTTAAAAGATATTATAAGGCTTAAAAAGTTTTTTTTTAATTTCATTAATGATAAATGATTTTTTTAAAAGCTCAGTTGAGCTGATGTAATAACCTAGGATAAAATGCCACCTAGTGGCAAAATGTCAAAAGTTGGATTCTTAAAATATAGCTGATTAATTAATTTTACGTACTTTTTCCAGTTATTTTTTTATTATGAAACGACTCAAATTCACGAAGTAGCGCTGGTACAACCGGTGAAAACATTACAATGGCTCAATCAACTCACCTGGTGACATAAGCCGTACATCACATATAATGTGAAGTTGGTGGACGAGTCGTTTTGTAAACTAACCACAACTGTCGATGTGCATTTCTTCTTTCATGCAGTGGCCTTTGGTAAACATGTACCGAATATCAGATTTTTATAATTGTCTGCTCTGTTGACATTGAATACTGTATAGACTGTTTAAATATTAGGTCAGAAAAAAGTGTACTGTATAAAAGGAAAAGGAAATACGGCCGCCATAGCTTAGCTGCTATTGCTACATACACCTTAGCAGCTTTAGCCACCGAGAGGTGACGTCACTGGCTTTAATAGTTCCAGGCGAAGTTTATAGTCTCGTTAACTACTTTATTTAAAGCCCGTTCAACAGAATACAATGTTAGTTTGGTGAATTAATTTAATCAAGAATAACACTGTCTTAATAGTTAGTTTTGCTCACTTTACTTGAAACCTCACTACTGCATAATTTTGTCCTATTCTTCAGTCTGCCCTATGGTCATTCTGTTCACCAATTTTCTATGTGAAGGAAAATTAATTAAAAATAAAGAGCAAAATTAAGTTATGTGGTGTGTTTTTTTCTGCATGTATTTATTATATATATTTAAATTGTTCTTTTACTCACAGAAACGCAGTTATGGCAGGATGAAGGTTCACATCACAGTCCAGTGATTTAGTATCCACTTCACACCAACTCTAGAAAAAGGAAACTAACTAATAATTATTCCAAAAAAAAAGTAACACAAGCTCACAATTAATCAGGGTAGAAAAGTGACAGTGAAGTATAAACAAACATTTACCTGAATGAGACCAAGACATTCATATGGAAGGTGGCGGAGGAGGAGGAGAAAGAGAATGAGAAGGTGGTGCCTGTTTCTTGCTCCCTCCTTTTCCCTGTTTTGATTCTCTGGAGTTAAATCTCATCTCCAGACTCACAGTGACAGCAGAGAGGGAATGAAAAGGGAATTTAAGCCAAGGATTTATTAAATTTTTTTCTATCTGCGTTGCTTTTTCTCATTATTTTAATCTCCTGTTTTCGGAAAACATGGGTTGTGGAAATTCATTGTTTGCAGCAACAAACACAGAAAAAAACAAAACCAGCAGCAGCAGCAACAGCAAAGGTAAGAATAGAGTTCCTGATTTCAGGTATATAAAAAATAAATATAAAAAAATTATCATCAACTTTTTAAATACAGTTGTTCCATTTGAGTTTGGAATGAATTTAAAGATAATTTTAGTATCGTTTCTTTTCTCTTATACCTCTTCTTACTCATTTTGGAGTTCTTTATCATCCTTTTTTTCTCCTCATTTTCTTCCACCTCTTTCAGATTTTCTGCTCTATTCTCTTCTGTTTTTTTGCTCCTCATTTTTTTCAATGCTC